TGTGTGTGTGTGAGCGTGTGTGCGTGTGCGCGCGCGTGTGCGCGCGTGAGTGTGTGTGCGCGTGAGTGTGTTAGTGTGTGTGTGTGTGTGTGAGTGTGTGTGTGCGTGCGCGTGAGTGTGTGTGTGTTGATCGTTATGTGATCTTCATTATTTCAGCACAGCAAGTTCTCTTCAATTCTATTTTTTCTTAATGAGTTTCAAAATCCACTATGAACCCAAACCCAGATGAAAAGAAAGAAATCCTTCCCTCAGAGAGAAACAGACCCATAAATGAGCTCTGAGACGAGCAGCTGCAGAAGATCATCAGGAACAGCTGCAGCGTTTGCTTCGATCGTCTCTGTAACAGATCCATGTCAACATACACTACATATATAGAGTGTGAGCACAGTAAAGCAGCAGCAGAAGTTCCCTTTCACCCAGAAGACACCATCTACTCCTAATCACTAATGTGCGTCCCTGACGAGGGCGTATTTTATGGCTTTATCAGGTAACAGCAGCCGCTCGGGACTGATTTAACTGCTGTTGTACAGATCCACATTACTGGAGCTCAATCCTCGACTGTCTCTCAGCCGCCGGCCGCCCAGATTCTGAACACCAGAACAAAACAGAGAGAAGAAGGTGAGGAAAGCATCTTCAGACTCAACATTAAATCCCTGAACTCATGTTCCTGGTGCTACTGTGAATGATTCTAAGAATTATAATCGTTTAATCGAGTCATAATCGTGACTCTCTTCTTGTCACTAAATAAAGCTGATCTGAACACTTCACATCATCTGCGCGTGGATAAACTCCAGCTGCTCTTATTGGATATCCGTCACATTAATATGGAAGCTCGTTTACATCACAGAATTAAATACATAAACATAACTGCAACTTTATCTCTCACAGTTTTTACTTTTTCCTCTCAATTTTGAGTTTATATCTCGCAATTCTGACTTTTAGATAAAATTGCAAGAAGACGGTTGGAGTGATATTAGTTACCTGGAAGGACTCGTCGCCCGTCTTGTTCAGGACGCTGAGTGAAGCGGCGCGTTTCATTCTGTAGAGAAAAACACAAATCTAATATCTGACAGCCAAAGAGCAGAAGATGCAGTATGTTTGACACTGAATGTCTTCAAACAATAACTCAAATGCATGTTCATGTACAGCAGAAGAACATTAGTAAATCAAATCTGTACAATTTTTACAAAAGCTAAACGTTTTCTTTCAGGGTTTGTGTTCATCTGTCATCAACAGAACTCATCTAAACTCATTTACTTCATCACTCAAACCTTAAGTTAAAGACTAAAACAAAATAAAAAACTATTTTATTAACTAAAGTAACATGAGATACAAATTACAACAATACAAAACCAATAAAAACTACCAAAAAAATGACGAAGAATACTAAAAATACTAAATAATATTCAAAATAAAGTGTGTGTTCTCATACTTGTTGTGTGTGTCTGGAGGTGCATTTAATTGGAGTTTTTTCACCAGCATCTCACTGCTTCTGCGCAGCACATCTCTGAGACGCCCCATAGAGCTGCTGCGCTGCAGAACACCACTGCCATCCTGCACACACACACACACACTCAATATACTGAACAACACACACACTCACTCTCACACACACACACTCAATATACTGAACAACACACACACTCACTCTCACACACACACACTCAATATACTGAACAACACACACACTCACTCTCACACACACACACTCAATATACTGAACAACACACACACTCACTCTCACACACACACACTCAATATACTGAACAACACACACACTCACTCTCACACACACACACTCAATATACTGAACAACACACACACTCACTCTCACACACACACACTCAATATACTGAACAACACACACACTCACTCTCACACACACACACTCAATATACTGAACAACACACACACTCACTCTCACACACACACACTCAATATACTGAACAACACACACACTCACTCTCACACACACACACTCAATATACTGAACAACACACACACTCACTCTCACACACACACACTCAATATACTGAACAACACACACACTCACTCTCACACACACACACTCAATATACTGAACAACACACACACTCACTCTCACACACACACACTCAATATACTGAACAACACACACACTCACTCTCACACACACACACTCAATATACTGAACAACACACACACTCACTCTCACACACACACACTCAATATACTGAACAACACACACACTCACTCTCACACACACACACTCAATATACTGAACAACACACACACTCACTCTCACACACACACACTCAATATACTGAACAACACACACACTCACTCTCACACACACACACTCAATATACTGAACAACACACACACTCACTCTCACACACACACACTCAATATACTGAACAACACACACACTCACTCTCACACACACACACTCAATATACTGAACAACACACACACTCACTCTCACACACACACACTCAATATACTGAACAACACACACACTCACTCTCACACACACACACTCAATATACTGAACAACACACACACTCACTCTCACACACACACACTCAATATACTGAACAACACACACACTCACTCTCACACACACACACTCAATATACTGAACAACACACACACTCACTCTCACACACACACACTCAATATACTGAACAACACACACACTCACTCTCACACACACACACTCAATATACTGAACAACACACACACTCACTCTCACACACACACACTCAATATACTGAACAACACACACACTCACTCTCACACACACACACTCAATATACTGAACAACACACACACTCACTCTCACACACACACACTCAATATACTGAACAACACACACACTCACTCTCACACACACACACTCAATATACTGAACAACACACACACTCACTCTCACACACACACACTCAATATACTGAACAACACACACACTCACTCTCACACACACACACTCAATATACTGAACAACACACACACTCACTCTCACACACACACACTCAATATACTGAACAACACACACACTCACTCTCACACACACACACTCAATATACTGAACAACACACACACTCACTCTCACACACACACACTCAATATACTGAACAACACACACACTCACTCTCACACACACACACTCAATATACTGAACAACACACACACTCACTCTCACACACACACACTCAATATACTGAACAACACACACACTCACTCTCACACACACACACTCAATATACTGAACAACACACACACTCACTCTCACACACACACACTCAATATACTGAACAACACACACACTCACTCTCACACACACACACTCAATATACTGAACAACACACACACTCACTCTCACACACACACACTCAATATACTGAACAACACACACACTCACTCTCACACACACACACTCAATATACTGAACAACACACACACTCACTCTCACACACACACACTCAATATACTGAACAACACACACACTCACTCTCACACACACACACTCAATATACTGAACAACACACACACTCACTCTCACACACACACACTCAATATACTGAACAACACACACACTCACTCTCACACACACACACTCAATATACTGAACAACACACACACTCACTCTCACACACACACACTCAATATACTGAACAACACACACACTCACTCTCACACACACACACTCAATATACTGAACAACACACACACTCACTCTCACACACACACACTCAATATACTGAACAACACACACACTCACTCTCACACACACACACTCAATATACTGAACAACACACACACTCACTCTCACACACACACACTCAATATACTGAACAACACACACACTCACTCTCACACACACACACTCAATATACTGAACAACACACACACTCACTCTCACACACACACACTCAATATACTGAACAACACACACACTCACTCTCACACACACACACTCAATATACTGAACAACACACACACTCACTCTCACACACACACACTCAATATACTGAACAACACACACACTCACTCTCACACACACACACTCAATATACTGAACAACACACACACTCACTCTCACACACACACACTCAATATACTGAACAACACACACACTCACTCTCACACACACACACTCAATATACTGAACAACACACACACTCACTCTCACACACACACACTCAATATACTGAACAACACACACACTCACTCTCACACACACACACTCAATATACTGAACAACACACACACTCACTCTCACACACACACACTCAATATACTGAACAACACACACACTCACTCTCACACACACACACTCAATATACTGAACAACACACACACTCACTCTCACACACACACACTCAATATACTGAACAACACACACACTCACTCTCACACACACACACTCAATATACTGAACAACACACACACTCACTCTCACACACACACACTCAATATACTGAACAACACACACACTCACTCTCACACACACACACTCAATATACTGAACAACACACACACTCACTCTCACACACACACACTCAATATACTGAACAACACACACACTCACTCTCACACACACACACTCAATATACTGAACAACACACACACTCACTCTCACACACACACACTCAATATACTGAACAACACACACACTCACTCTCACACACACACACTCAATATACTGAACAACACACACACTCACTCTCACACACACACACTCAATATACTGAACAACACACACACTCACTCTCACACACACACACTCAATATACTGAACAACACACACACTCACTCTCACACACACACACTCAATATACTGAACAACACACACACTCACTCACACACACACACACACACTCAATATACTGCACAACACACACACACACAATATACTGCACAACACACATACACACTCAATATACTGCACAACACACACACACACTTAATATAATGCACAACACACACACACACATATATACACACACACACTCAATATACTGCACAACACACAAAATATACTGCACAACACACACACACACACACTCACACTAACACTTACGCACTCACACTGCACAACACACACACATCAGCTCTGCTGGATCCAGTGTGTTCATCATGTACAGGATCATGTGAGCACCATCACTGCTTTAAAGGAACAGTCCACCCAAAAATCAACCAGACAGTTTGGTTCCCATTGACTTTCTGAAATGACAGCGGAAGTCAATGGGAACCAAAACAGTTCGGTTCCCAGCATTCTTCAAAATATCTTGTTTTATGTTCCACAGAAGAAGGAAAGTCATACAGGTTTGTAATGAGTAAATAACGACCGGATGATCATGTTTGGGTGAACGAAGCCTTTAACACGACACACCAGCTCACGCCACTAAATCACCTCATCACTGTATGTGCCGATGACCGACGAGGTCTTCTCCTGACATCTTGCCCTCTACAGCCCTGAATGTCAGCAGAGACCACGTCAACTAGATGCGCCCCGGAGACAGATCCCCAGTGAAGACCTCATCACCTCGATGGCCACGGGAACCAGACGAGTCCTCTGCACAATCTAACCTGTGCTGCAGCCTGGAATTAAACCACGCCATGTTGGTTTCATCTGGCCAGAGGAGAACTGGCCCTGACTGAGCCTGCTTTCTCCCAAGGTTTTTTCTCCATTCCTGTCAGCGATGGAGTTTTGGTTCCTTTGGCTTGCTTAGTTATGGACGCTTGACTTAATGCACAGACACTACTGGAAGAGAGCTGAACTGGATGATGACATCACTGAATCACCAATGAACTGACTTTAGCTGAAAAATTACTCTTTGTTATCATCCTCTTGCATTATTGACAAACTATTTTCCTGTTTGACACTGTAAAGCTGCTTTGACACAACCAGTATTGCATAAAGCGCTATACAAATAAAAGTGACTTGACTATTAAAAAACACGTCATCAACTGATGTTAGAACAAAGTCATGCAAAAAAACTGACTACTCAAATACACATTATTAACTGTTTCATTATTTATTAAATAACATTCAAAGCACGTGATCTCAATATAGAAACAGATCATCATTATTAAACATACACTGATACAGAACGATGAGAAACTTAGAGATAGACAGATAGAGAGACGGACAGACAGATATTCAGAAATAACCCTTTATTGAGAATGTCAACAAACGTCACAATGCAGTGGAGTAATATGTTCATATATATTCATTGGTAGATCTACTCGCTATGATAGTGAACACAAACGCTCGGATTAAAACAAAGATAAACCATCAATAAATATGCAGCGATCCACGACACACGGCATAAACACGTCAGTTATTAAGAGCAACATTTGTTCGTTTTGTACTGCAGCATCATCATCATCATCATCATGTGTGTGTGTTTGGAATGAAGCAAACTATCATCATTAGTGAAAATGGGGAATAAATGAGGCCTGCAGCACAAGCGTCATGAGACACGTGCACTGAACTGACAGCACATTCAGTGATATAATACAGTCACGTCAGCTGCTGGGACGCGTCTTTAAGGCTTTTCATGGAG